TTTTATTTTTATAAAGCTATTCACAATAATTTATTGTATTTAGCACTGTGGGTAGGGAGTTTGCCTTGCACACGGCCAACCTGGGTTCAATTCCTTCGCCCCTTTTGGAGAGTCCAGCAAGCTTCCGAGAGTATCCTGCCCACATGGCAGAGCCTGGCAAGCTCCCCGTGGCATATTCGATATGCCAAAACAGTAACAATAAGTCTCACAATGGAGACATTACTGGTGCCCACTCGAGCAAATAGATGAACAACAGAACAGCAGTGCTCCAGTGCAGTTAATATTCAAACACCAATCCCACCACCATTGCACCTTCCACCACCATAAAAGGAAAGCATGTGAAGATTGATGTACTTCATCCTGGAGCCATTAAGCCCTTATAGAAGAGATTACAAATGTGTTTGTTAAGCCCAATCAAATGTGTGCTACTTTTGGTACATCAGTGGTGTAGCGTATGAGAGGTTGCTCCAGGAATTCTAAAATTTAGAACACAATTATAGAGCAGATTCACTTATGGATGAGGCCTATGTAGCTCTCTTCCAGGAGCTTTATTTCTGTGTCTCCTGGATCTTAGCCATTATTGAGATAATATGGCGCTAGGGGCAGTTTATGGGTGTGACTGACAAACTACTGGTGAACTTGGGAGATGAGGGGAGGAGGCCCATTTCCAAGCTGAGCGAGCTTGTAGATTTCGGTCATGGGTCCTGCACAAGAGCTTATAAAGTAACTCATGATCTCTTCCAGAAGATTAAATGAGATGTTATTTATGCAGTCCTTTATAGTCGTCATTGATGGATGAAGTATGGTGACTTCATTTACAATGTTAACTAATCTGGAGAGTACTAAAGAAATTCTACTAATTTCTGCCCCTGTGTAGACATCTTCTTCCCTCACACTCGACTCGGTTGGTGCTACATGCACTTTTGTGATGTGAAATTCTATATTAACCCCGAAGAAAGCTCATGGATGGGTCAGAGAATGAGAGTTGTTGACTGCTACCTGACTTTTTTCCTGTCCCTTGGAAACCTTGCTCTCAACTTACCTTGTCAGAAATTCTCTTTCCAAAAATACTACAAGAAAACAGGTCTTTACTCACTAAATATAAGGGTCATTCTTGCCTCCTGCTGAGAATAATGGGGTCACCAGGATTGGACTGTTGGCTATTCTCAAATTCTATCATCCACCAAAATTTTTCTACAAAAGAAATGCCTGGTTGAGTCTCACAGATGGTTCATAGTGTCCATTGTTCCTGAATTTTAACAGTTTAATACTCTCAAAACAAACTTATTTCCTTTTATTTTAAAAGGATGTTGGCAGAACATGTGGGAAACAAAATACCTCACTTGACCTTTTGTACCAGCAACAGAAACATTCAAGAGACATTTATTAATTTGGTGCATCATGTTGAGAGAAAGTAGTTATTTGCCTTTGCCATATACCTCCAAATTTTCTCTGCTTTCAAGCTTCTTCTCCTTCTAGCTCAAATTCAGTTCATGCAACTAGGCTCTCATAATGCTCAAATATCAGTCTTTCTATTTTTAAACTTTTGTTTATTTATCTGGTTGTGTTTATTTATTTTTTAAATTTTTGTTTATTTATCCAGCAATGCTTAGAGATTACTCCTAGCTCTGCACTCAGGAGTCACTCTTGGCAATGCTCAGGGGACCATACAGGATGCCAGGGATCAAACCTGGGTCTGTTGCATGTCAGGCAGGAGCCTTATCCACTTAGTACTATCTCTCCAGCCCCAAACAGCAGTCTTTCCATGCGACATTTCTAACCTGAGCTGAGATTTTAAAAAGAAATTAAAACTGCCCAGGACTTCCTGTCCCTCCCCAGGCTACAAGGATGTGCCAATGCAGTCATCTGGTGTCCATCTTTGAGTTTGCGAAGAGCTGGCACACCACCCCAGGATAGATCCACACCACCCACTCTCACACCCCTAATTTTCTCTACCCCACTTACATCACTTTCCTATGATTCCGTTGATCCCTTGAACCATGGGCCCATGTCTTTCTTTTCTTTGTATTTCCAACACACTGGATAATAGACCATGTAGACCTGGAGGCTAATGATATCACCAATACCATTTGTTCACTTTCCTTTCTCTCTCCAACTCTCTTTCCATTTTTCTTCCTTTTAGACACAACTGTCATTTTAGCTTAGAGAACACAAATTCAAGGTATCCCAGCACCCCACACCCACATAGATTCACATTAAAAAAAAGACCAAACACAAAGCAAATGGAAACGAGAAGAGCTTATATTTCCCATTACATCTGCTATCTGATCATATTTCAATTCAAGACACGTTTTCCATTGTTGTTTTCCTGGCTCAATTAGGTTACTGGAATTACAAGGTGAAGATTATGGATACACAGTCCAGTGCCCATGAGTTCATATGAGATTAGGATGCTAAACAGAGGGTCCCGGGGATTTCTCCTACCCACAGAATTGAAATGATTAACACTGAGTACCACTAGATACAGATATAGATACAGATTCAGCAATTCATTTTTTTTTACTTGTTGCTAATACAGCACACAGTTCGGGAATCACTTTGGTGGTTATTCAACCAACAAAGACCCATCAAACCCAGGTATTCCTTTTTATCTAATTGCCTCTCTTTTTCGGAGGTCTGTACTCTACAGTATGGGAGGGCGCTTTGACGAGAAGGAAGGGGTCAAGGTGCAACGTGAATACAGTGTTAATGTAGGTGTCATATAAATGCATTAGCTCGGTGGATCAAATAAGGGAAAATATTTTGATGAGAAAATGGCATTTAGAAGTGCTAGTGCATTTAAAACATTTTCCCCGCGTCCTCGTTACATTAGCAGACCTAAACAATCAAGGGCCAGGAGGCGTTTCTGCAGGGATTGTGAGCTTAAAAAGTTACCCTTGTTCTGACACCTATTAATAACCACCTTTGGAGAATTATAAAGCACAGTGAAAAGAGAATTGTTTGTGTGCCAGCAAGAATTCCATATCTGTGACTTATGCAGACAAAAAGAAAATCTATATGGGATGCTATTTGTTTATTCTCTGCTGACTAAGAGGCTTTGGGACCTTGAGAAATCTATTGTGTATAACTCTGGGTGACAGTGGCATACGAAACCTTTTGCTAACACTCTCTACTTAAGGATCAGATGGGTTGCAAATGCACAATATTCCCCAACAAAAGAATTCAGAGTGTATAAGTTGGTTCCAGCTTTGAAGGAATTTGCACTCCCTGTTCTAAAGAAAACTTCAACATATGGCAAAAAAGAACTTTTCTCATCTCAAATCTTTTGATTCCTTTGCTTCCTGCAGCAGAATCTCAAAACCAGCTTTGCATAAAATCTTTTCTCAGTCGACCAAAAAAAAAATTGGTCATTGGCAGGAAGGAAGGGTACCTCCTGGTATGTTGGTATTTAAGGTTAAGTAATCAAATGTCAAAAGCTGGCTTGTTTGACATGGTGGTGTTGACAAACTCATGTCACATGAGATGAGAGGAACCTTGACTCAACCTTTCGTTTCCACTGATAATGCTAATTTGAGCACCTTGAAATATCCTGCCTCAACATTAAGCTTAAAAGTCACTGGAGTTGTGGGGCGGCGGGGGGGGGGGGGGGGGGGGGGGGGGGGAGGGAGGGAAGTCTTTGTTTGTCCCCAAAGTGGAGAATTCCAAATGTAAGTGTCTGATTCCATTTGACACTTTCACAGAGTCCTAAGGAGTCTCAGATTATTGCTTTAGTTAACTTCCTGGAAAGCCAAATGCAAGTCCTTCATCTGAAGAATCTGCCTTCACACCCCCCATGCCCACCTTCTATGCCCCCACCACCACCACCACCACTGGGCCAACCTTGCTTTCAAAGAGCTAAGATTCTAACCAGGACTCCTCGAGTTTATCTCTGGGTTGCTGTTGTCAAACTGAGACCAAAAGAGGAATTCTCTCAAGCCAAACTAGTAGGAGCTGTGATAAACTCCCTGGAGTTCTAAGTCTTTCACAGAGATTTAACAGGGATTATGAGGAAAACAAAAACCTCAGCATAAATTCAATCTGAGGTCAAGGTCTGCCTCAGGACACACTCAATCCAGTCAAGTCAAGCCAGTGGTGCAGAAATGGGCATGTCTGGAAAGGCAGTGGCTGAAGGAACAGCACGTATGTTATAAGATGTCCATGTCACTCTGAGGAACCCCTCAGTTGTGAAGTCCCCTGGGTTTTTCAGGACTGGCTAAGAGTTCTCACCTTAGTGAAAGTGAGTAGTGGGGAGGAGAATCATGAAGTCTTCAAAAGACTGGACGGTCATTTTCCTGCTTCTTTTGATGGTCTAATCCCCACTCCTATATTGGGTATTTTTTTTTTCCACAATCATGATCATCCTGTTGCTCGTTGATTGCCTCGAGCAGGCACCAGTAACATCTCCTTCTTCCTAGCCCTGAGATTTTAAAAGAGCCATATTCAGTGCTCTTTCAGGGCTAAGAGAATGAGACCTATCATTGTTACTGGTATTTGGCATATTGAGTACGACACAGGAAGTTTGCCAGGCTCCGCAGTAAAAACGAGATAATAAGATGTCTCTTCTGGGAGCTGGGTTTTATAGTCTCTGGGTCTTGGCCATTGATGGGACTACCTGGCACCAGCAGCAGCTGGTGGGTGTAATGCCTACCTACTGGAAGATGGTGGATCTGGGTGGAGAAGGCCCAATTCTGATCTGAGCAGGCTTGGAGATCTCAGCCCCGGGACCCGCATGCCTGGGTTCCTCTTTCTGTTCCTTCATGCATGAGGCTTGTCCGGACATGTGGAAAGTGGTCTCAGCATGGTTGTGGCTGGTTCTGGAGGTCTTCAGCTGCCGGGGCTCTGCTTGGGGCAGGGAGGGAAACTCAACCCGCCCCCCTCCAAGGGGCCCCAGTGAGAACAACCAGACGCGGGGGCAGGAGACTCCACTTTTTAATTTCTTTTATTTATTTTTTGTTTTGTTTTCTTTGGTTTTCTCATTTTTTTTTCGTTTTTCAAAACTAATCATAGGAGCAATTAGAGTGTTGTGGCCCCTTATCATGTAGAGAGATTAATCATGAATTATGCAAACTTCAATCACCACATTCTATCTGCCTCTGAATAGAGGAACAGGTAAGGATTACCCTTCCTGATGATCAATTTAGTTTAATTTTTTTTCTTGAATCACTGTGAGATACACAGTTACAAAGTTGTTCATGATTGGAATTCAGTCATAGAATGGAGAGAAATTGGGAACATTGGCGGTGTACACTGGTGAAGGGATGAGTGTTAGAACATTGCACCACATTATTTTCAGTTGATGTGGCCTCATCTTCAGCGCCAGGACCCCAGCAGAGCATAATTTAAACTGCTCAGACTTCCTCAAGCATCCTTCCCATCAGCACTGCAACTTGCACATCATTTGATCAGTTAAGACATAAGGACAGATATCAAGAAACATAATAAAGGTAAAGGTAAGGCCCTCCCGTTGATCGTCGATTTGCTCGAGCGGGCCCAGTAACGTCTCCATTGGAGACTTTGTTGTTACTGTGTTTGGCATATCGAATACTCTCAGCAGCTTGCCGGGCTCTCCGAGAGGGGCGGAGGAATCGAACTCGGGTCGGCCATGTTGGCCGCTTGTAAGGCGAACGCCCTACCGCTGTGCTATCGCTCCAGCTTCAACTTGTTTCAGTAGGAAACTTCTTTTTGGCAGCTAGGATAGGGAGGGAAGGGGCAGTATGTATGGTGGAGGGAGGAGGTGGTGCTGCTGAATAAAGGTGGCAAAGTGTTATGCATGAAACTCTATCAGCAACAGGAAACCACAGACTGGTGGAGCAGGCAAAGTGGGTGGGGGTGGGGGGAGGGGGAGGAAGTTGCAATTGGTGGAGGGGAAGTGGACACTGGAAGGGAAGTGGACACTGGTATTGAAATATTGTATGCCTGAAACCTAATCATGAATAATGTGCAAATTTCACAGTGACTCATTTTTGTTGTTGTTGGCTTTTTGAGTTATACTTGATGATGCTCAAGGATTACTTCTGCCTCTGCACTTAGAAATTATTCCTGGCAGTGCACAGTGGGGCCATATACGATACTGGGGATCAAACTAAGGTCAGCCCTGTGTCGGCAAACTTCCTGCCTACTATACTATCACTCTGGCCCCTCACCATATTTTCTGGAGTCAAGTTGTGGAACTCATCAGACATCATATGGCACCATTAATCCAGACTTGGGCTAGATCTTCCAGTGAAAACAGGCTATTCTGAAAATAAGTAAGTGGGCACTTGAAGTCAGAGATATTGCTTGTCTACTGGCCATCACTTCTCTGTGAGAAACAGACCCTAGCCTCAAAGCTTAATCTGTATCAGCTGTTCTCCCCCCCTCTCTGTTTTTGGGGCAAAACTCGGCAGTGATCAGGGCTTTCTCCTGGCTCTGCACTCAGAGATTGCTGGTTGCTTATGGGACCATATGGGATCAAATCTGGGTCAGCGGCATGCACTGCAAGCACCCTATCCACTGTACTATCTCTCCAGAACCCGGTATATCAGCTGTTCTCATTTTCTTCTTCCTTCTCTGCTCCTGTGAGAGAATTTACTTGCCAAGACCCATGATTATTTTGTGATAGGTTAGTTCTAGATCAAATGCCACCCCCATTATCCTCCCCCACCCTGAATCTAGTCATTTCTAACATCTAAAACAAACCAGACCTGGTTCACATCCCAAACAGGACACTGAATTTTTAAAAACCTGCTAACTCTACAAGAGAACTTCGATGCTGAATAGAAGCTTCCTTACACAACACACGCCAAAGAGCTATCACCCTTCCAACCTTAAGTTGCATATCCCCCTCTTATTTCACTGCATCCATTCTGTCTGGAGTCTATTCACTCTTCATCTGCCTGACCAGAAACTATCCAAAGAGGAAATGAAGTGACTAATTTGGCAAGATTTACTTGCCACCAACCTATCTCCATATCTCTGACCCCCACTTCCTTTTGTCAAGGACTCACACACCCACAAACCATCCTCATAATCAGCAGAATTGTATGGTGCTAGAATTGCACTCTGCATTGACATCAAGTTTGCAGATCTATAGTTTGCAGAATCCCCTTTCCCCCTCTTCAAAAGCCAGGCTGTGTGTATCAAACTCCTGTCTCTCAGCGCCTCCTCCCCTTTAGGACCTGCAGCTAATGGAGGATTTGCCTAATGTCTCTTAATGAGGCAGTGCCCAGCAGGACTGGAAGTCAGTGGAGCATGAGGGTCTTGCGTTTTGCCTCTCCTTTCCAGCTGTGATCCTGCTTCCCACCCCCCATCCTCCCAGCAGAACCCACAAGTGCAAGCTTCCCCCACACTCTCTGACAGAAAGTGCTGAGCTCCAGGACCCAGTTTCAATTCCTCCTTTGGGGCACTGAAACAAAGACCAGAGGGAGCAGACGCTCTGGGAGATCAGTGCTAACACAATCCCAGATCATCTGTGTGTTTGCGGACACTATGTTCTTTCTCTCCCCACCACCAACACCCTGCTCATTCTTGAACATTATAAAGAGATTTCACCTTAGTAAAGGGGACCTGGGAACACAGATGGAGGAAGATGAACCTGGTGATGGGATGGGTGATGGAACATTGCAAGTCTACAACCCAAGTAAGAATAGCTTTGTAAATCATGGTGCTTTCACAAAATAAAATGGAAGGGAGGGGAAGGGGGGAAAGGGAGGGGAGGGGAGAAGAGGCTAAATGGGGCTGGGGAGTGAAGTGGGGGTGGAGAATCAGGGGCCTTTGGCTCCCTGCTGTTCTAGTGAGGAGCTTGGATTGCCCAGAATTTCTTACCATTCAGGCACTGATATGTTACTGATAATCTATGCTCTCTCCATTGATCTAATAGGGCAGAACCGCCTTCCCTTCCCTTCCCTTCCCTTCCCTTCCCTTCCCTTCCCTTCCCTTCCCTTCCTGTCCCATCTCTCCTTTTCCCTACTCTCCCATCTTTTCTTTCTTAACCCTGGTGATGCTCAGGCCTTATTCCAGGCTCTACACTCAGGGATCACTCCTAGTGTTGCTCAGGGGACAATATGGGGTGCCAGGGATGGAACCCAGGTCAGCTGCATGCAAGGCAAGCACCCTATGTACTGTACCGTCTCACCAGGCACCCTCTTTTCACTTTCTTATATGACTACCTTCCTACATTTTGCTATCAACCTAATTTCCTCTTCACTGTTTTCCCCTTTGGGGGATTACACCCAAAGATACTCTGGGCTACTTCTGGCTCAGCGCTTAGGTGTTGATCCTGGAAATACTCAGGGGACCAGGTGGTGCTCTGGATAGAACTTATAAGCTTATTAAAAAACACAAAATCCACCATGTTTTAGAACTCAACTGTGCAAAAAGACTCATTGATGTCAGGTGTAGGTCTGGGTAAAATAGATTTCCAAATTGGCAGAAAGTGTGCTTAATCCTAATGGCTTCATAATTTCCAGAAGAGTTCAGAATCAGAGTGATGTAATTGGGTTTTATTTGAGGGTTTTCTTTAGGTTTAAAAGGAAAGAGGGTGAAGGAGGAAATCAATATATTACTTGCTGGGAAGGAAAAGTAAGTGAATCACCATTAGTCTTCATTTATTTCATGAACTGATGAGAATCACATTCACCTCTCTGGACGATATTTTGCATTATGAATAGATACTAAGCTAATTTGTAAAGGCTAAGTCAATATTTTCACATAATAGAAATATTGTTTTACATGCCTTACAGTATAATTTAATGTTGAAATGACACATAGAATTTGTGGGTCATCTTCTATATTAGTCTCTGCACTTAACATTTTTCTCAATTGGTGTCTCCATCTGGAAGATATGAGGTTAGAGAGGGAGAGAGTGGGAGAGAAAGATTGAAGGAGAAGAAGAAGGAGAAGGAGAAGGAGAAGGAGAAGAAGAAGAAGAAGAAGAAGAAGAAGAAGAAGAAGAAGAAGAAGAAGAAGAAGAAGAAGAAAAAGAAGAAGAAGAAAAAGAAGAAGAAGAGGAGGAGGAGGAGGAGGAAGAGGAAGAGGAGGAGGAGGAGGAGGAGGAGAGGAAGGAAGGAAGGAAGGAAGGAAGGAAGGAAGGAAGGAAGGAAGGAAAGAAACCTTAGACTAACAGGAAAAACAACCCAAGTTATAAAATGTCTGTTCCAGTTCATGTGAGGGAGGGCAGCTGGTTAAGAGAAGAGGGTATAAAATTGGGGGGAATAAAACTGAGGTCAGATGCATGCCAGGCAAGCACTTTACCCCCTGTACTATTTCTCAGGTCTAAAGGCACAAAATTTGATTGACTGAATGACCTGGGGCATATCTCAGAGGGAGGAGTTGAGTTAGGCCACAAATATTTCTAAGAATCAGCTTTACCATTAAAACATATGCAATCAGGCAAACTAACATGATCCTAATTTTAAAATAATATAAAAATATAAACACAATATAATATTCTATAGAAGTCCATGGAACACTTGAGACTGGAAAAGCAGCCATGAAATCCTGTCCAGTTAATTCTGAATTATTTCTTCTACAAATTCAACTCTTTTTTAAAAATTTATTTATTTATTGAATCACTATGAGAATAGTCACAAAGCCTTTTAGTTCAAGTCTCGGTTGGTCATACAATGATCAAACACCCGTCCCTTCACCAGTGCACATTTTCCACCACCAAGAACCCCAGTATACCCTCCCTCCCACCCACCTCCCGCCTGTGTGGCAGATTTCCACTTTACTCTCTCTCTCTCTCTCTCTCTCTCTCTCTCTCTCTGTCTACATTGACTACATTCAATATTACTACAAAAGACCCAACATTGTCATACAAATTCAACTCTTAAATCTCTCTGCCCCTCCCTCTCCCTATCCTCAATTGTAAGACACCAGGCATTGTTTGCTTGATTGGTTGGTTTTTTGTTTGGGGACCCCACTGGTGGTGCTCAGGACTTCTCATTCTGCACTGAGGGACCATTCCTAGTGGGTTCTGGGCACCATATGGGGTGCTGTGTATTGAACCCAAGTTGTCAGCATGCAAAGAAATTCTATACTATCTCTTTAACAAGAAATCTCTTGTTTCCTTTAATACCTGTGATCTTTCCAAAATAAAAAGTTCTATGATGCTAACCTAAATCATGTTTTCATTAAAAAGAACCTCCACAGA